CCCCGGCGCAGGCGGGTACCGCGGTACCTCGGCCGTTCCGTAGGGACACGTGTGTTCCAAGCTACGCCCCCTACCCCCCCTTAGAGAGCCACCAGTTTCTATCGAGCGTCAAATTGGTTCCCCGAGCGGTGGCGAGCAGCTTCGCCGCCAATTGTGCGGGTAAATTAGCCCAGACCAGTCTCAGAATGTTGGACGTCGTGTCCGTCCGTGTTCTCCGAGGGATGAGTGTTGATTGATGCCAAGGGAATACTTAGTCTAGTGTCTTTAGCAAACACCAGGATAATTCTCTGCATATCTTCCTTGTTTCCTGCCTTCAGATGGTTCTGGTATTTATGATCCTTGTGAAAAAGAAGCCACTGATGCTATTGGGCATCTAGACAGACAACAAAGGGAAGATATCACACAGAGTGCTCAGGTATAGTTTTGCCTACAGATGTTCCCAAAACTTCCCCAGTTCCACCGCCTCCGAGCTCCCGTTTGGGGTTCCCGGTAGTCTAGTCCCTGCGGAGGTCGGCGTTCTCTTGGTTAATGCCAGCCATACCCAGGGGTCCCGCAGCCAGGAGGATTTGGTAGCTCGGCCAACCACAAGCGAAGTGGCAGGTTTTAAATAGTGACTCGTCACCCCGGGCCCGTAATTCCGGGCCGAAATTCCACAAATATTCACTCAGAGAGTCCCGTTTAAACGGATGAGGATTTCTGTGTAGGGGTGGGTAGAGTGTTGGCAGGGAGCGGAGATCGGTGGAGCCGCCCGCGCTTCCCGGTAACGCGGGTTTTGGTCTTTCCAGCACGCTCTGAGGCTCGCCGCGTTCGGCCAACTGCACAAAGTCTTGGGGATGGACCCTCTGCCTTCCAAAATGCCCAAGAAACCAAAGAACGAGAACCCCGTGGACTACACCGGTACGTGCTCGGAGCGGGAATCGACCAACCCACCACCCCGGAGCACGTTTCCGAGGTTTTTTTTGCTGGAAACTGGAATACTCAGGGTTGTTTTATTCCGGTTGTTACAGTCCAGATTCCTCCCAGTACGACGTACGCCGTCACCCCGATGAAGCGACCCATGGAGGAGGACGGAGAGGAGAAATCTCCCAGCAAAAAGAAAAAGAAGATTCAGAAAAAAGGTATTGAGTTAACGAGAGGTAGGTACCGACGGCGCCCGAGGGCTGTTCTGGGGCCGCGGCGGGTCCGGGGTGACACCGGAGACAGGAGTTACAGGGAACGTGAATTTGGGGGGAAAATCCAAAAGGAAAAGTCTGTAAGATTTTTTTTTTCCTTGGGATAACTTCAACTCTCACGAGGAGGAAAACGCAGATGAGAACGTGTCTGGAATCAGTTGTGCTTCTTCCAAAGAGGCAACAAACCTCCGCAAACTCGCCGTTCCCGTTTTTTTCCTTTCTCCGTTCAGAGGAAAAACTTGAGCCTCCCCAGGCCATGAACGCGCTGATGAAACTAAACCAGCTCAAACCCGGCCTCCAGTACAAACTGGTGTCTCAGACTGGTCCCGTTCACGCTCCCATCTTCACCATGTCCGTGGAAATCGACGGCAGCACGTTTGAGGCGTCGGGACCTTCCAAAAAAACGGCCAAATTGCACGTGGCAGTGAAGGTAACGAGCTGCCGGAGCGCGCTCCGTAGGAGGCGGTTTGGTCGCCGACCGCTCCGGGCTGGAAAGGGCCACCGGATCGGTGGGAATGACACAATCGGGACCGTCACCGTGGAATTCATGTTGTAAAATCCCTTTGGGATGGAGAGGGGAGAAGTTAAAACACCGGGACGGCGTAGTCCGTTGCGCGCGAAGCCTCAGGGCGGAGGATTCCACACCTCGTGGGTCTCGGAGCGCCCGTGGGATTTGGGGAATGGAATTAATAACGGGATTCTGGAGCAGTTTTCTGGAGTATTTACCCCGAAACGCGTCGGGCACACGAGAGCCGACGGCTCTTGGGGTCCGTGCTGCTCATAATCCCCTCTCCGCCTCTCCTCACCACAGGTGTTGCAGGATATGGGTTTGCCCACGGGAGCCGAGGGCAAAGAATCCGGGAAAGGGGACGAATCCGCAGCGGGATGCTCCCGGTTCTTTGGGATGCTCCCGATTCTTTGGGATGCTCCTGGTTCTTTGGGATGCTCCTGGTTCTTTGGGATGCTCCTGGTTCTTTGGGATGCTCCTGGGTCTTTGGGATGCTCCCGGGTCTTTGGGATGCTCCCGGGTCTTTGGGATGCTCCCGGGTCTTTGGGATGCTCCCGGGTCTTTGGGATGCTCCCGGGTCTTTGGGATGCTCCCGGGTCTTTGGGATGCTCCCGGGTCTTTGGGATGCTCCCGGGTCTTTGGGATGCTCCCGGGTCTTTGGGATGCTCCCGGGTCTTTGGGATGCTCCCGGGTCTTTGGGATGCTCCCGGTTCTTTGGGATGCTCCCGGTTCTTCGGGATGATGTTGGAGGACGTGGTTGGAAGCGCCTCCGAGCATCGGGTCGCCGTAACGCCGTCCCGTACGGTTCAGTTCCCGGAACGACACCATTTAAGAGGAAAAACCTCAGGGAAACTTACTCCAAATCCCTCTTTTCCGTGATATTTTGCAAAGTCTGTGTTTTGGAAGCAGCTTTGGATCCATTGGGGGCTTTTCTTTTTTTTTTTTTTTCCTTTTTTTTTTTCCCTTTTCTTCATCGCCGCTCCTCTCCCTCCAGAACGTGAAACAGCAGGGACCAATCCTGACGAAGCACGGCAAGAATCCCGTGATGGAGCTGAACGAGAAGCGGCGCGGGCTGAAATACGAACTGATTTCGGAGACGGGCGGCAGCCACGACAAGCGCTTCGTCATGGAGGTGAGGTGGCTCCTGCTCCTCCGTCGGCCGTTATCCCACCTCGGAGATCCGTAACTTCGTAGCCTTTGTGAGGATTTAAAATCACGGAATCTCGGAGCGGTTTGGGTCGGAAGGGACGTTTTAGGATGATCTGGAGGGTGGGGATGTGTTGTCACTAGGTCAGGTTGCTCAAAACCTCGTCCAACCTGTCCTCCGACGCTTCCAACTTCTGGAAGTTAGGGAAAAAAAACGTCAAAAATGGTTAATTTTACCAAACGACAGCTTCTCTTCCTGCCCTTCCCGCTTACGCTGACGATTCCGATCCCTTTCAAAGGTGGAGGTTGACGGGCAGAAATTCCAAGGAGCCGGTTCGAATAAAAAGGTGGCAAAAGCCTACGCGGCCCTGGCGGCGCTGGAGAAGCTGTTCCCGGACGCTCCGGTTGCCATCGAGCAGAACAAGAAGAAGAGACCCCCCGTGCCGGCGAGGGGGGGCCCCAAGTTCGCGGTGAAAGTGAGTAAATCCGCGATTCCACGGCTCCGCGGTACCGTTGTCTCCGGCTCTACGGTTTTCATCTCTTTTTGGGAGGGGAAGTAAGTTGAGGTGCGGAGAGAAACCGGAATCTGCCGACGGCCGTTGGGCTTGGAAGCAGAAATACCGTCAAGTTTTGCAGAAAACATCCTCTGTTTTCTAGAGATGACCCCTCGTTCGGTTCACAGCCCCGGTGCTTTTGCCTTGGTGTCCTCTTCCTCTGGAGGCACGTGTTCTGGAGCTTCCAACACGTACCTGGCACATTCCAGAGCATCCAAGGAGCACATACCACTTCCTCCTGTGGTACCTGGAGCGTTCCAGAGCTCCCAAGGTTCCTCCTTTGGTACCTGGAGCATTCTAGAGCTCCCAGCCTGGTTCCTTGGGTACCTGACATGTCCTCCTTTGATACCTGGAGGTATTTGTAGAGTTCCCAAAGTTCCTCCTTTGGTACCTGGAGCATTCTAGAGCTTCCAACCTGGTTCCTTTGGTACCTGTTCTAGAGCTCCCAATATTCTTTTTTTGGTACCTGGAGCATTCTGGAGCTCCCAATGTTCCTCCTGGTACCTGGAGCTCCCAGTGTTCCTCTTTTGGTACCTGGCACATTCTAGAGCTCCCAACTCTAGGTACCTCCTGGTACCTGGCACGTTCTAGAGCTCCCAGTGTTCCTCCTTTGGTACCTGGAGCATTCTAGAGCTCCCAACATTCCTCCTGTGGTACCTGGAAGTTCTAGAGCTCTCAACATTCTTTTTTTGGGATACCTGGCATGTTCTAGAGCTCCCAAGGTTCCTCCTTTGGTACCTGGAGTGTTCTAGAGCTCCCAACATTCCTCCTTTGATACCTGGCACATTCTAGAGCTCCCAATGTTCCTCCTTTAGTACCTGGAGTGTTCTAGAGCTCCCAACTTTTCTCCTTTGATACCTGGCACGTTCTAGAGCTCCCAATGTTCCACCTTTGGTACCTGGAGCTTCTAGAGCTCTCAACCTGGTTCCTTTGGTACCTGGCAGTTCTAGAGCTCCCAATGTTCCTCCTTTGGTACCTGGCATGTTCTAGAGCTCCCAGTGTTCCTCCTTTGGTACCTGGCATGTTCTAGAGCTTCCAACATTCCTCCTTTGGTACCTGGCATGTTCTAGAGCTCCCAACGTTTTCCTCTGGGAGGCGGTCGGATAAACACATCTGCCTCTCTCTCCTTCAGCAGCACAACCCGGGTTTCGGAATGGGCGGCCCGATGCACAACGAGGTGCCGCCTCCGCCCAACATGCGCGGTCGCGGAAGAGGCGGCAACATCCGAGGCCGAGGGAGAGGCCGGGGCGGATTCGGTGGCAACCACGGGGGCTACATGAACGCAGGTGAGACCATCCCGGCGCCTCGGCCCGACTCTTTCCATGCCAAACGCGACCAAAGCCCGGCGCTCCATCGTTGAGGCGGTGGCACGAGGTCTTCGTGCGCTTCCATTTCCTTTTTTTTTTATTGAAACGTTTTCCTTCTCATCCAG